GAGATTTAAAAATTCGTTTTTTTTCGAGGCGCGATATAAAATAATATATTTAATAAAGCATATGCTGTAGAAAAATATCCTTATAACGATACACATTGCCAATATTACAGCACGGAGATAAAGCCGTACACAGTAATCGATATGTGCGAAAATTTGGATGACGAAACGATAGGAATAATAGAGAAGAGATTAATCGGTAATCATCCAAATACTTATACGTTGACCAAAGGTTTGGCAGAGCAGATTGTGCTGTCCAAGGGAAGCGATTTACCAATCGCGATCGTACGACCGAGTATAGTTTGCGCAGCGTATCAAGAACCATTTCCAGGATGGGTAGATAATGTTTACGGTATTACAGGTACAATCTATATTGAAAAAGTGATTGAAAATTGATTGAAATTTTGACAGGAAACCTACTGGGGAAAAAAGTTCACACATATACGTAAAATCAAATATAAATAATAAATCATATAAAATATATCCATGTATGTTTTTTCTCTTGTATAATAAATTCTATTTATATATAAAAAAGAATCAGAAAAATAATTGAGAATAAATTAGAGGAGATTAATTTTAATATACAGGGTGTCTTAGACCACCCCTTTTAAAATGAAAATAAATGGCTTTTCTCAAAAATCGCGAACAATTTTTAAGTAAATCGGATACGATATATCAAATGATGATATTTTGAACTTTTGATTCCCATCCGAAATATGCCATCCGGATTGAAAGTTGAATTTTTTTAGGGGAATATGGTACTTTCTGTTACAGATTCGAATTGTACATGAAAAAATAAGAAACTTTTGTATTAAACGTTTTTTCTGAAAGTGCCTCTGTCAGTTTTAAAATTGACCTTGAAAATAACTGTGATGAAATAATAAAGATCAATTTTTTTGACAGAGGCACTTTCAGAAAAACGTTTGATACAAAAGTTTCTTATTTCTTCACGTATAATTCGAATCTGTAATAAGAAGTACCATGTATCCTCAAAAAAATTCAACTTCCGATCCGGATGGCATATTTCCGATCGGAATCAAAAGTTGAAAATATCACCATTTGATAGACCGTACCCGATGTACTTAAAAATTGTTCGCGATGGCGAAAAGTCACTTATTTTCATTTTAAAAGGGGTGTACGGATGGTCTGAAACACTCTGTATATTTATGTTTGATTATATGTAAGAATAATTTTTTCTCGTTTCTTTAGTTGGATATTTTATTATATTTATATATAATTTATTTTATATAATATTATAAAATATTATATTTATAAGCCTAAATTGCTCATTGTATTTTATATAATTTTTAAGCCTATTGCTTTTTATAAAAAGTTATTAAAAATATGGAAAAGAATAAGCACGATATACAGGGTGACCCATTTTAATTTCCCCAGCCAAATATTTCAGAAAATAATGAAAAATCGAAAAAATGTTTCAGACAAAAGTTGTATGGTTTTCAGGGGGACATAAGATGACACCATTGGTTTGACCTTGAAGAGTTATTTGAAGGTCACATGAAGGTCACCTTCAATTTCTTAAATGGAACCTACATTTTCTCATTAAATATTCTTGTAGCTTATCTCGAGAGCTTTCCAAAACACTATAATTAAGTTAGTTTTCATTAAGTACTTTCCGAATTATGAGGCTTGAAATTATTTCTGAATTTTGCATAAATCATAAAATATCTTGTAAAATATTCATTTTTCGATTATCTTACCTTAATACTTTTATGTACAAAATAATGAGAGGAATCAATTGGTGTAAAGAAAATAGTTATTTTTAAGAAAAAATATGTAATTTGCAATTAACAATTACATATTTTTTCTTTGAAACAACTATGTGTTTTTTTTACACCAATTGATTTCTCTCATTATTTTGTACATAAAGGTATTAAGGCAAGATAATCGAAAAATGAATATTTTACTAGATATATTACGGTTTATGTTAAATTAAGAAATGATTTCAAGCCTCATAACTCGAAAAGTACTCAATAAAAAAATATTTTATTATAGTGTTTTGGAAAGCTCTCGAGATAAGCTACAAGAATATGTAATGAGAAAATGTAAGTTCCATTTAAGAAATTGAAGGTGACCTTCATGTGACCTTCAAATAACTCTTCAAGATCAAACCAATGGTGCCATCTTATGTCCCCCTAGAAACCATACAACTTTTGTCTGAAACATTTTTTCGATTTTTCATTATTTTCCGAAATATTTGACTGGGGAAATTAAAATGGGTCACCCTATATATAATTAATCGCTCATATAACATGTTCGTGACATTAGCTTGAAGAATTTTATTAAAAACGAATTATTATATAATGAAGAATAAAAATATTAAAAGTTTAAATTGTATAAAATGAACCGAACATTTCTAATAAATTAATTTTCTTCTATTAATTATATAGACGTGTATACAGAAAAAAACAAGTGTCAAATCAAAAACTTAAACTAACGCGTTTATTGTTTCGTATATACGCAACAATCTATAATCTTCTTAGAAGAATTTAATAATTTTAAATTTTAACAATATTATATTTTTATTTTAATATTGTAATTGTCACCTCAAGAATATATAATTATTTAATTTCACTTTAAGAAAATTATAATCTTCGATTTAAAAATGTTATTATCCAGCATTGTTTCTTTTCCATTCAAGAAAATTAAATCTTAAATCATAAGAATATAAAAATAATAAATATAATAACAATTAAAAGGCTCGTGTATTGCAATGCAAAAATAAACAGATTAACATTAAAGGGCCGCGCGCGACAATACGAGCAAATTAATAAGATAGAAATAAAAATAAATAAAACAATTAATTATAAGTTCGTTTAATTACAAGATCGCAAACGTTTCGACTTAACTTAGTCTTCTTCTGTATGATATTTAAACATTTTTTAATTAAACGAACTTATAATTAATTGTTTTATTTATTTTTATTTCTATCTTATTAATTTGCTCGTATTGTCTCGCGGCGCGGTCCTTTAATGTTAATTTGTTTATTTTTGCATAAGAATATATTTTTCTTGATTTAATTATATAAAATGGCTTCATTCAAGTAAGCAATTATTCAAGCAATTATATTTTTCTTTAATTAACGCAATATAATCTCATTTCAAGATTTCCATATTAAAACTAAATATATTTTCAAAACAAGAATGTCCTTTTTTTCTGTGTACAAATATACTATATTCCATTATTTGATTAGGTATAATGACAGAGATAGGTAGAGGTACTATTAGGAGCATCATATGCAACGCAAATTTAGTAGTAGACGTTGTACCTGTCGATTTTGTTGTCGATACATTAATATGCGCGTCTTGGTATAACGCTACGCAACGTTCCGATACGATAAAGATTTATAATTGTACCAGCAGCTCATTGCATCCAATCACGTGCGTATATGAAAAACTGGTATATAGTATAATATAGTATAATATAACGTAATGAAGCAATAAATAAAAGTATGATGTTTATATGATATTTAAGAACATAGTGAGAGACACTATAAAAAAAAAATGTGTGATTTTGCAGATGGCGTGAATTCGGACATCTTACGAGGAAGCACGCTATAGAATCTCCATCGAAATACGTCATGTGGTATCCAGACTTTACGTTTAGAACAAACAAATTCATTCACACTATCATGGTAGCTATGTTGCACTTCTTACCTGCATTCATCGTAGATCTTATATTAAGGGTCCAAGGTTATAAACCTATGTAAGTGCTTTCTTTCTCTTGTTCTAACCAATTATATTTATAATAATAAATTCTAAATTATAATAAATTATAATAAATTCTAATAATAAATTTATTATAATAAAAATTATAATAAATTCTAAATTATAATAATAAATTCTAATATAATAATAAATTCTAAATGATATTTATAATAATAAATTATAATAATAAATTAATTTTGAGTGACGATTTTTTTCTCTTTTCTCTTACTTTTTTCTTTTTTTTTCAGAATGATGAAAATCGCCAAACGTTTCGAGCGCGCCGCTAAAACTGGAGAGTTCTTCACGATGAACGAATGGAAATTCTGTGCTGATAACATGACGAAGTTAGTGAAATTTGTAAGAGCGTCGGGTGATTGTGACGATTTCAACGTAGATATCAAAAGTTTAGATTGGGATACGTACTTACATCAATACATATTAGGAATTAGAAAATATATTTTGAAAGACAATTCAGATACGTTAAATAATGCCCGAAATCGTTTATCGAAGTAAGTCTTCCAATTTCATATTCTTATTTACATTTTCGAGCTTGCAAGATAAACGTTGCGCAGGAAAAAATAAATCGATTATTAATGTATTTCAGATTGTATTGGATGCATAAATTAACCAAAGTATTCAGTATATTCATGTTATTAGGAATGATCAAGTGTGCCGGTCGGTCATCGAGAAATTATACGGAAGCTTTTGGATCGCAATTCTAGGAACACTGTAAAAATATTATGGAAAATATTTTAGGAAAGAGGAACATATAACTTTGTAGTACTAAACTGTTGTCAAGTAACTAATTTACTAATTAAATCAGATATTAATGGGAAGGAGAGGAGGAAAGAAAGGAAAGGTAGTTCAAGAAATATAATTTTGAAAAGCGTAAATGTAGAATGATTGTAAATACTATAAAATCTTTGTTTAAAACATTTTCTCACATATCTCTCACATATTTTGTACGATAATTATTAAGTTAGCTTCTTAAAGATCCTACAATTGACACGTACAAAAAATGTTATGTTTCTTATTTTGTGTTATTCTATCAAGATATACATATACAGAGAATTCAAAGATCAAAGATAAAAATTTTCAAACATTTCCTTATATTATATATAGGATGTCCCATTTTATTTTTGTCAGTCAAATATCTCGATTTTACTTAGAGTTAGAAGAAAATGTTTCAGACAAAAGTTGTATGGCTTGAAGGGGGCCAGAGATGATGTCATTGATTTGACCACAAAAAGTCGTTCGAAGATTACGTGAATGTCACCTTCAATTTTTTAAATGGAACCTACTCTATCATTACATATTCTTATAGCTTATCTCGAAAGCTTTCCAAAACACTATAATTAAGTTAATTTTTATTGAGTACTTTTTGAGTTATGAAACTTGAAATTTCTTCTTCATTCATGAAATTCATTTCTTAATTTTACATAAACTGTAAAATATGTTGTGAAATATTCATTTTTCGATTATCATACTTTAATACTTTTAATACTTTTACAAAATAATGAAAGAAATCAATTGGTGTAAAGAAAAAACATAGTTGTTATTAAAAAGAAATATGTAATTGTTAATTGCAAATTACATATTTTTTCTTGAAAACAGTAATTTATAGTTAAATTTTTCAACTATTTAATCACAAATTACTCAAATATCTGACGTACCGAACAAATTCTGCGGCCAGATTTGTTTTCTAATCAGATTCACCTACTCTGCTTTTTCGCAACTAACCAAACCTAAATAAAATTTCGCAGGCCTGTGTTATCAATATTAAAATGAAATTATTTTTGCTATAATTCAAACACTTCTATAATCATATAATTAAACAATTATAATTGAATCAATCAATTTTATCACACATTACGCTTGCAGAAACAAATAAATTTATTGAAAAGCATTTTTAAGGCAAAATGTCTTTCGACACTTTTGCGTTGTCTCTTTGAAACTGAATGAACTAAAGGGACTATAGGCGGCTGTGATATAAAACGATCAAGCGCAAAAAGTTACAGTTGTTATAGTTTGTGCGTGCGTCTATAAATTATATTGGAAGTGATCTATACATGAGGATAAAATCTCTTTAAAAATTCGAAAAATTGTATGTACATATATCTGTAATATGATGAACAAAATAATGAACATGTATTTATGTGTATATATTTAAATATTATGAGATATATACACACAATTTTATTTAAATATTATGAGATATATACAGATTTATATTTCAAAATATAATACTTTTCGATTTTGAACTTTCGTAATTCTCTTTTTGTGATCTTGCTATACTTAAACTTTGAGATTTGATGTATATAACAGAAATATGATCGTAATACGTTATTAGATAAATCACTATTGAAATTCAAAAAAGAATTGATCTGTTTGATTATTCATAAAACATGACAGAAATGTGTAACGTTACGATTTTATGGTTTTTCTTATTCTCAATATAAATACGAAACATCTGATGCATATCAAATATGTTCCTGAGCGTAAGTATTTAACCATCAAAATTGCTTTCTTCGCGCGCAATGTATTGCGTAAATACGTTTCGATAAATTAATGAAATATATTATTAATACATTATTAAGCCATATCATGACAATGTTTTGATATACATAATTGTGTCATATTGTACACTTTTGCCATGTAACAAACTTGTGTAAGACTTGTAATTAGATAAATAATGTTTGTAATTAATATCTGACTTCTTCGATTATAAATATTCGTATATATACATCACCAAAAATTTAAAATATGTTGTCAATAAAGAACTTGGTGCAAAACGCGTAAGAAATTCACCATTTGTTTCAGCTCCTTTTGAAAAAAAGCTAGGAAAATGTGATTTTATCTTTTCAACTTATTTATCTTAAAAATTTTGATTTGTTTGATTTTCTTTCTATTGGATTAGATTGGAATATTAGCTTCAAGTCTCTCAGCAATTTTATACCAATATTTCCTCCAAAAGTAAAGAAATTATTCTCTTCAAAAATCGGATATTATATCATTTTATTAAATGTATCTTTAAAAACCCGTTCGAATTTTTTAGAATCTCACAATTTTCCTTCCAGCTCACAGAATTAATCTTTTTTATACTGACTGTAAAATCTAATCTTTCTAAATCCTTCTGTAGAAATAGAGATCTCAATGAAACCATTCGTACTCTTGACTTTATTCTAGATATAATGAGCTTTTTCCAATGTTCTTGCAATCTCGAGTTCTAATAGAAAGCATCTTTTACCTTTAATCCATCACGAAACAATTCTTTTTAAATATCTTCCGTACACATTTAAAATCCTTTGTAGACATTCTATGCAAAAGCTTCTCTCTAATTCTATGTCTTTTAGAGAAGCTTCCAAGATTAATCGCGATGTCCTGTCAATGCAAACTTCAGTCTTTCTCGAGTTCCTCATTTCTTTCATTTCAATTTTATTCTCGGTAAGTAGTAGATGGTCAACAAGGAAGCTTTGATGAGATATTTCCCAATCGAGAGCAAAGAGTGAAATGATATTTAAATAATTCTCTCATTTATTTCTATTAAATATTTATGTCAATTATATTATTGGTTTTATTTATAGAAGATATAATTAGAAAAATAATGCAATATATATGGTATATATATATATATATATATATATATATATATATACATATATATATATATATATTTTTTTTATTTTATTATTAAAACAAATCAACTTGAAATTAGTTTAAAATACAGTGCACACATACATTTAACAGAGATAGAGTCTCTTTGGAACAGAATATTGAAAAATATCAGTTTTTTTATCATTGTCAGCAATTTAAGCAATTCTCGTTGATTTTGTATTTTTTACAATAGTTTGCTTAATTAAATTTAATAAAGACTTATTTTAGATTTAATTTAATTTGATAAAAATTTAAATTAGATTTAATAATGATTTATAAAAGATTTATATTTTATTATTATTATGAAATTAGAGAAGATAATTGTTTAATTATGAAAATGAAGAAAAAAAATACTTAGAAACTTTATATTTATTATTATAAATTTAAGGAGTATATGACATATAGATACTACAATGCTGTATTTCGTAGTAATCTGGTTCACGTTTCCCGAACAATTCTATAATCTAAAAATTATATTACAGTGTACTAATATGATAAATTCGTAGCTTTGAGTAAAATTAAAGATTTAGAAAGCTATCACGCACGGAAATTAAACTTTAATATTTTAAATAATAATCAGCAGAAAATGGCTCACTAGATTCTGCGCTCTTTTCATACATATAATTATAATTATATTTATATTTATTATAATTATATTTATTATTATTATAATTATATTTATTATAATTATATTTATTAGTATTATAATTATATTTATTATAATTTCACACGTTATTTAATATTTTTTAATATAGCATAATATAATGACGTTTCGTTTAATTCCTTTTTCAGACACGATGGCGCGATCAATATCAAAAAATTATTTTATATCTATAATAATAAGATGCGTACTTATAATTTTTATAAATAAAAAAACTAATTATCCATATCACGATAATTATATATATATATATATATATATCACAATAAAGATTCTTCAAACACATATTTTGCGTAATTTACTCATTCAATCAAGTAAAAATCGTAGTAACAGAAAACATAATGAATTATCGTTGCAAAATCGGTAAATCTTTACGAGCAAAAATTATTTTTTAAATGATATTTCGAGTCATCTAACCCGGCCGCGATGCTTTATTCTATTTTTCGATCATTTAAATGTAATTCGGATTGAAATCGCGCAGTAATAACAAACAGAAGCATAGATCTAAATAAGCATAAAAAAGCTTCGTAATGCCTCAATTAATTAATATGTAAAATAATTAATATGTAAAAAATGTAATCTCTAAAATATTTATATATTATACTTTAATATTTTGCGTATTTGTATGTTAAAATGCATAAAATATTTTGATGCGATGAACGGATAATAACACAATGCTCGGTCTTGCCGGTGTAAACAATACCTAGCACGCTAATATTTATATGTCATTGTCTTGATATCAGTCGTACAGCAACACTCGAACAATAATGTAAAATATTTCATATAATGTCAAATTAATTCGTAATCGTTCCACATATGACTAATTATTATGTTTTTTTACTTGTATAATAAATTCTATTTATATATAAAAAAGAATAAGAAGAATAATTGAGAATAAATTAGAGCAGATAATTTTAATATACAGGATGTCCCACTGACATGACTACCCCTTTTAAAATGAAAATAAATGGCTTTTATCAAAAATCGCGAGCAATTTTTAAGTAAATCGGGTACATGCCTTAACAACACACATGTCCAAAAGACGTCCATAGAATATCCAGAGAATAGCCAAAGGATATTTTATGTCCTCTGGATGCCCTCTCGATGACCTCTAGACATCTTTTGGACATGTGTGCTGTTAGGGTGTATGTATGTGTGTGTATGTATAGAGAGAAAGAGAGAGAGAACCACAACTTATTTAAAAAATTAAAATTAAAAATTTATTTATATTTATATAATTATTTATATTTATATTTATTTATATTTATATTTATATATATTTATATAAGCATCTTGCTCTACAGCACTGGTGCTATCTAGTGCTATCGACATTTCGTGCACATAGCACGGAACAAAACCAGAAATTGTACGAATTATGTTACCCTCTGAGAACATTCATGGACACTGGCTTTGTTCATGTCCACTGAGGGCGCATTTAGAATCATCTAAATTGTCAGTCTTCTCTCTGTTTTCTTACATCCTGGGCGAATCCATTTAGGAATCTAATCAGCCATAAGGAAGAAGTATGAAGTAAACAGAATAAAACAAGACACCAATATTAGCATTTATTATTTTACAATTCGTCGATAAGTAGAAGAATAAGTAAGTGAATTAAAAAATAAACCCAATTTCTATTTTATTCTGAAACGTAGAAAAATATCGCTTTAAAAGTATTGTCATGCGTATTGTATATATGTGTACATATATATTAAAAAATTACTTTTAGAAAATAGCACAAATTTATAACTGTATTTTCTTGCATTTTTTTTGCAACTTTCTACTTAAAATTCATTTTATTTTAACATTCTTTATCATGTGTTTTGATTGAACATAACCTTGGTAATCTATAACTTTGTTCAAGTATTTAGTTTTCCTAACGACTGTTAATTTAATATACATTTAAAAATTAAATTTTTTAAAAATTTATATATATTTAAAATTTATATATTTAAATATTTAAATATATTTAAAATATTATTTAAAATATTATTTTAATATATTTAAAATTTATATATATGTTTATTTTAATATTTATATATAATAAACATTTTATTTCTTAATATCAATTTCTATATTATTTTATAAAAATAAAAATTTCATAATTAACCTGCGTAAATTTTTATTCTTTTCATAGTACTTAAATATTAATATCAGGTTACACCTCAAGTCACATCTTTTATTTATATATATGTACACATATGTATTCAAATTCAAAGATATATTAGTGTGATAATAATGTGTAACAAGGATTACTTGTTTCATTCATGAAATGTAGAGGTTCTTTGAGCGTCTCTAAATCTAAAACAAGTTGCGCAAAACTGGGTCTATTATGTGGCACTGTGTTCCAACAGGAACACATAATTTTATATATATCAGGAGAAATGGTATTAGGACAGGCTAGACGACATTTATCTTGAGTTAAATAAAGCAGCAAATCATCGTTTTGTACATTAGCATACGGGAAAGAACCTAGAGTTCCAATCTCCCAAAGAACAACACTGAATGACCAGACATCACTTTTGGAAGAAAAAGCACGATCACGTATAGCCTCTGGTGACATCCAACGTATTGGCAGTTGACGAACTTTTCCTGCCATATGATTTATCACATAAATTCCATTTCGAGATAAGCCAAAATCAGAAACCTACATCCAATCAACTGTTATAGTTTTTCAAATCAATGTTTTTAATAATTATAACATTATAAAATGCACTACCTTAAGTGTTAGATTTGAAGTGAGCAGGATATTTCTTGCTGCCAAATCCCTATGTGTGATTCCTTTACTTTCTAAATGTTCCATTCCTCTTGCAATATCAAGTGCAAATTTTATAAATTGTTGTCTGTTGATTTCACCATATAAATCTTCATCCTTTTTGTTTTTTCCAATAATATTTACATATCCAGGTACAGTCTTTTCGAAACAGTACCAAGATAAATCATCCAATTCGACTCTTCTAGAATGCAGATATGCGAGCAAATCTCCACCTTCCATGTACTCTAAAAGTATGCATGTAGGATTATCTGGTAAGGTGCAGCAACCTATAAGGCTCACTAAATGTGGATGAGAACCAGCTGCTTTCATTATTTTAATTTCTTCCAATAATTGACATCTAGCTTCAGATTCATTAGATGTATCAGAATATTGCAACATTTTAACAGCTACTAATGTATCTTCATTATTATTTAAACTGCCCAAATATACTCTGCCAAACTGTCCCTTTCCTAATTCACATATAAGATTTATACATTTGTATGGTATTTCAAATTCATTATCTTGTATTTTGCAACAATTTTCCTGCAATAAGTTTGATGAGTGCATTTAAATTTTTAAATCTGTTATGATTTGATATTTTTTCATTTACCTCTGAACTTTGTGCAATATATGTACCACTATTACACTGGGAATCTAAATTGGGCCATTGAGTCAATTTATGAGCAGTAAATCCGGGCATAGTTTGTCCCCTGTCATTCAAAAATATAAATTATGAATATGTAATAGATTGATAAAGTGGGAAAAGTTTGACAAATTGCTACTTTACTGTCTAAATGGCCATATGAATTGATATCCAGTTTTATTATGTATCGATACAACACTGATGAATCCTAATATAATACAAATAGTAATACCAACAAGTAACAACCACTGGAACATAATTATATTAATATTTCATACTTATATATTAATATATTATTATTGATAATATATTTTTATTATATATTATATATAATATATTAATATATTATAATATATTAATATATTATATAAAATATTAATATTATATACTATCTTAATATTATATAATATATTAATTATATATAATATATTAATATAATTAAATATGATATATTATATGTAATTATATATAATTATATATAATATATTATATATTAATTGTCAATACATATTTTTTAAAAAAGATACGTACAACGATACTGCCACCTAATGTCTCAATTTCATCTATATTAGTAATAATAAAACTGCCTTGAGATCCCGAACAACCTTGGTAATCTAATGCTTCCACAAATATTTTGTATCCATTTTTCATTTTTACATACTGATTGTCAATCTTCAAATCCCAATTAAATGTATTCTTTGTAAAGGTTGCATTACTTATTTTCGTAATATTATATATAGAATGCCCTGCTTTTGATGTTGATAGTGGTATGCCAATACTGGAATATTATAAATAATATTAATATATAATATTAATATATATAATATAATATATATAATATTATTATAAGTATTATAAATATATATTATATCATGTCACTTAATTTAAAATGCAAAATAAAACAATAAAAGAATCAAACAGTTGGAAGAGACAAGAAATTTTACCTAATAACATAAGAATGAATGGGAGAGCTATTTGATGTAATATTCCAATTTATAACGATATTTTTTTTCATTTGAATTACTTCTACTTTTGGAATAGGCAAGGTCACTTTTGCATCCACACAACTGCATCTATGGTTTATACATTTTGGAACTGTATAGATGACCTATATGTATAATATATATATTTTGAAAAATGTGTATACGTAACGTGTATATATGTATGTATTCAATTTTACCTCTGGCAATTTTCCTACAGGTTTAGCTCTTGGATTGGCATACACTTGTATCTTGTATGTACAATTCGGACGTATTTGTATCTCCGACATATCATTCAATAATTTATTTTGCGGTACTAATAAGCTAAATGGACTTTTATTTTGCACATTATAGAATGCAGAACTTTCTATACATTCTGTCTTATCTATATTGGTTTCGCTTGGAATGCATGTAATTATAATACTATAATATATAAAAATACATTTAAATGTATGTGTAATAATTTAAATATTTAAATGATCTTTATAAATAACAACATTCATTTACCTGTATGAAGAAGGTTGTTTCCCTTTGTTCGGTGGTATCCAAGATATGTTTAATTTTAATGACTTGTCATTTTCAAGATAATTCTCATCTTTTAAAGCGTACACTGTGATATTTTCCACAATGCCAGCAAATCTCATTACATTCTTTGCATTTGTTGTACATGTTGTATTGGAACATAAAAACAATATAATAATTATGTTATATATTAAAATCCACTTACACTGTACAAACATCTCATGTTACAATGATAATAGGAACCATTATATAAACAATTAGATGTTACATATTTTAATATTATTATATATATTATTTTTATCTTCACTAAAATTTATTGGGCACAAGATATCCACTTCATTTAATAAAAATACTGTGCTTTATTTCAATTTCAAAGTCTGATTAAAATTATCTCCAGCAAAACTTATCTGGATAATACTTATCTGATAATTTTACTTTAAGTGCTTAAGAATCTTATAAATTACAATTGATAAACTGATAAATACAATGGGGCATTTTTATTGCAAATATTATATTGCTTGACGAATCAATAATCGAGAAGTTATATAAATTGCTGAGTAAGAATTAATTTTAGAACGAAAATTATTAATTCCGAATTAAATAATGACCACAATTAACGAAAGGTAAAATATAAGATTTATTCATATTAATAATTAATATATATATATATATATATATATATATATATATATATAAACACACACATACATATACATGATATATACATGTCCTAAACTCATGTAAAATAATTTGATGTAGTCTGAAAATTTTTTAAAATGTCTGATATTTGATGTTCCAGAAACCAAATGGCCTCGGCTACGATGTCGCCAACTGATGATGACGAGCTCACTCTTCCTCGTGCATCCATTAACAAAATAATTAAGGAAATCTTACCCCACGTCCGAGTTGCAAACGAATCCAGAGAGCTCATTCTGAATTGTTGTACAGAATTCATTCATTTATTATCTTCCGAGGCGAATGAAATCTGTAATCAACAACAGAAGAAAACTATAAATGCAGAACACGTTTTGCAAGCACTTGAAAAACTAGGCTTTGGCGACTACAATGCGGAAGCGGAAGCTGTATTACGAGATTGCAAGGCTGTAGCTGCTAAAAGAAGGCGTCAAAGTACTAGATTGGAGAATTTGGGAATTCCAGAAGAGGAATTGTTAAGACAACAACAAGAGCTATTCGCTAAAGCAAGAGAGGAACAAGCAGTGGCGGAGCAACAACAATGGCAACAATTACAGGCTGTTGCACAAATGGCATCCATGCAACAAGTTGACAGTGAACAGGAAGATTATTCATAAAATTCAAACACGACAAAATTTATATTTAAGAATAACTTCATGCATACACACGCATACACATAATTTTGTACTTTAGCAGCAAAATACTTCTAATATATCGAACACAATATTAAGAAAATAGATACAGATGAAAATAATAGCAATTAAAAAATATTGAATAAAAAAAACGGAGAATATTAAATATAAATTTTATTATTCACAAAAGAGTGAATTCTTCTGTGTTATAATCTAATAATATTTGTATTTTATGCATTATAATTTTATTTATCATAATTTATAAAAGCAATGTATCATAATAAAGCGAATTATACCTGTATTCCTTCTAAATAGTTTTTATATATTCAAGGCATTAGTCTTCCATATTCAGAAGATAGATGGCTTTTCTTTATCGCCTCCATGACTTTTGAAACATAATGATACCTATCAATAACATATACATTATTTTATGTATATGTAATTATATTAAGTTAGATTCTTCTTCTCTATTCATTGTTTATCAAAACTGAATTAGCTTGCTTATTTGTTATTTATATATTAAATGTTAAATCAAATTTCAGAAAGTTAAAAAGAATAGATAAGTAAATTCATTTTTAAATCAAGAATACAACAATTTGACTGAGATATAAAATAATAAATCTAGAATATTATTTTACCAGCTTTTTTCTGTTAATACAGACGGTGTCATTAAATTCCTGGTAACTCCATGTATCTTTGTCCGTAATTTGTCTATGAGAGATTTTTCATTTTCACAAAATATCATGTCTTCTGCAACAAATGTCACAAATCAACAAATATTAACACAATTTTCTATAAATGACGTAAAGCAGACATTTACCTTCTTTTCTTGAAGGTATCAAAAATAAATTTAAACCATTTTCTGTCGAACAATGACTCATATCTATACCACTATGAGTTTGTAGTCGAGAACTTGAAAATACTTTATTATAAAATTCCTGCAGAAAAAGATGTAAAGATACAATAACTCTGAAAATGTAGGCATATTTAAATATAGAATTAAATTCTTAGCATATTAGTGAAATTAAAAAAGTGATCTCTCTCTCTCTATTTTTAATTTATTCTTTAATCTTTTTGTATTCATTTTAACAATTTGATATACATGCATAGAATGAAATCAATTTAGAATAATAAACAAAGCAGAGAGATCCATATTGTTATTAATTAAAATTTAATGATAAAGAAAAGTTCAAGAAAATTAAATTAATTAAGAATAGAATATAAAAGAGATAGAGAATAGAGAATTAAAAAAGATAAAAATATATATTTAATATGTATAATGTATAACAAAGTAGAATAGTACCTTCATTTGATCAATAATACTTGGCATAAAATCTTGCAGTCCTACTTTGTTATGCAAAAATACAACATGTGGATAATATTCCACATAATCTTGATCCATAATTGTTGTTGAAGATGGTTTTAACATTTCTGCTGTTTGTAAAAATCTATAAGAGAAATATAGAAATGTTATTTAATTACAATTAGTCAATTAGTTACTTAATTATAAATTTTATAACAATTGTTATGTTCTCAAGAAATAGACAAATATTATCTATACAATTACCTCACCAAATTTGGATCAATAAACCAATCTTGCACAAATATAATAACGTGGCATACTGAAAACAAGAATGCTGCAAACTGAAGAGATTGTAACTCCAAATTGGAATCGGTATTCACAAAATCAGTTGTGGTTTTCTTTTGATCAAAGCATACAGAGTAGTCAGTTACAAGTCCAGAAAGGATTGGTTGTGTATCCAAATATATTATCCTATTTTTACTTATATAAAAATCTATTCCGGCAGTGCAATTTGTTGCATCATTTTCATAATGCGATAAATCTTGGACTTGAAAAATGTTGGATCTAATTGTAATATAAAATTATTAAAACAGCGCATTAATTTTTACAAAAATAATTAAGAGTAACTTAACGTAAATAAATGCAATACATACGAGTAATGTGATGTTAATAATGACATAATTGTTGATTTCCCAACACCTTGTGCACCTAGACACCCAACAACTAGAAAGTCTTGTTGGTCGCACAGATAATCTATTGGATTTTCACACAACTGCATATTTTCATCCATGAATTTTATACAACTACTCATCTCAGGACATGTTGAAAACATACGGATTGCTAAAATATACATTTTATATATTACTTTTCAGCGATAATATATAAGTTTTCTAAATAAACTGGAGTATTGATATACACATAGCTCATATATAAATCACTTTCTATATTACTTACAATCTGGTATTTTCGTTGGTGCTCCTGAAGATATATCGGTATCCTTTCTAAAAATTTTTTCTTTATTATAGGATGCATTGTAACAAATGACAAAATATATAAATTAATAATTATTAAAGGCACATACTTGTGCCCATTGCGTTGGCTTGGGGAAACAGCTCTGCTCTCTCCTTCTCGAGTTTTCAAGATAAACGTTGGTCGTTCTACGATCTTAATTAAAGTCCTATTTTCTCCGTCTTTGTTTTCTGAATCTTTCGACGTCGTCGACAACATCTTTACATATCTTCTTTTCTCTGTTATTATTTGAGCTTTTCAATCCAAGTGGTGCGTGATGCGTGATGCGCCCAGTGCGCAAGCGCAAAGCCGCAAGCCAATGGAGGATAATATACAGGGTGTTTCAAACCACCTGTACCACCCATTTAAGAACTAGAGAAGTGGTTATTTAAAAAAAGTAAAAACATTTTCTTTTTAAATCGGGTGCGCTCTATCAAATAGTGATATTTTCAACTTCTCGTTCCGGCCGGAAATAGACGATTCAGAAAGTACATTTTTTAAAATGGAACCCCCTATTTTTCATTGCATATTCTTGTAGCTTACCTCGAGAGCTTTCCAAAATACTACAATAAATTATCTTTCCATGAAGTACCTTTCGAGTTATGAGGCTTGAAATCATTTCTTAATTTTACATAAACCGTAAAATATCTTGTCAAGTATTCATTTTTCGATTATCTTACTTTAATACTTTTATGTACAAAATAATGAAAGGAATCAATTGGTGTAAAAAAAACACATAGTTGTTTTTAACAAAAAATATGGAATTGTTAATTGCAAATTACATATTTTTTTCTTAGAAACAACTATGTGTTTTCTTTACACCAATTGATTCCTCTCATTATTTTGTACATAAAAGTATTAAGGTAAGATAATCGAAAATTGAATATTTTACAAGATATTTTATGGTTTATGTAAAATTAAGAAATGATTTCAAGTCTCATAACTCGAAAAGTATTTCATGGAAAAATAATTAATTTATTATAGTGTTTTGGAAAGCTCTCGAGGTAAGCTACAAGAATATATAATGAAAAATAGGGGATTCCATTTAAAAAAATGTACTTCCGGTCTGAATCGCCTATTTCCGGCCGGAACCAGAAGTTGAAAATATCACCATTCGATAGAGCGCACCCGATTTATAAAGAAAATGTTTTTACTTTTTTGAAATAACCACTTCTCTAGTTTTTAAATGGGTGGTACGAGTGGTCTGAAACACCCTATATAATGTGCACAATTTCTGGTTTTGTTCCGTGCTATGTGCATGAAATGCCAGTAGCACCAGAGTATAAGACACTTATGTATATAAATTGATAGTAAATAAATGATTCAATCGCGAAAGATACTGTAATCTTCCAATGTAATGTTCAAAGATGAAATAAATATTTTTCTATATTCATTGTCATATTTATATGTTTTTATTTATAAAACACAAAATGCCTGCTGTGGGATAAAAACATTTTTAACCGTATTTCTATAAATCTCCTTAATTAAACTGATCTTTGATATTTATTAGTAAACTATTATTAATTAAACTTAATTAAACTGATCTTTGATATTTATCAGTAAACTATTATTCAGTAAACTGACTTTTAATATTTATCAATCATTTTTTTAGTTATTTAAAAATTTTATTATTAATACATATATAGAATTTGTCAAATTAATCACTGATTCTTCTGAAGTTTTTATAATTAAGACTCGAAAAATATGGATTTTGCAAAATATTTTAAGTCTCCTCCTTTATATAAAATATAAAGAATTCATATGTTCCATTTTAATATAGCTAACATTATTTTTATATATTTGTATTATAATTTTTATACCAACATAATATTTTTATGTTAAATACATATTACAAAATATATGACAAAATATAATACAAATTTAATATAAAATATAATTCGAAATTTAATACAAAATAATTTATTACATAAAATAATTTATTACACGAAAATTTCCAAAATAATATACGTATAATATAAAATTTACTAAAAATTTTTACATAGTCCAAACGAGACTGATCGGCGAAGATTAATTACGCGACATTTATTATTAATAATAGATATGTAATAATAAAATTTAATAAGTTTTATATAACGTAAATAATGGTGAAAGAAATAAAAGAATCATTAATAAAATTATTGATCGTTTCTTCGATGGTAAAAGAAAATATTTGCATTACTGATGCATTTTGTGTAGATTATCAAAGGAAATATTCAAAATGAAAAGATAGAATAAACTTCAAAATCAACAATTAAATTACTAAATAAATCGCGATTTAAAATTCGCGAGAAAACGCGACGAATAAATAAATCGGATATTTGATTGAGAGATACGCATAATTTTTATAATATGATAATCGAAACCATCAATAGATACGCGTGTGATATAATTATTATCACGCACAATTGCAAAGATATTTCGACAGACGTTTAAGTCTGTAATATTTGCGAATTTATTTGCGATTAATACGCTATTTTATATAAATATCGCGATTAAAAAATACATATTGAAAATACATACATCTCGCGCATAATTAGTTAAATGAAATAAAATGAATCTTAAGATTTTATAATTTTCTTCTATAATCTTTATGATTTTAAATATAATTAACATAGAATTAAAAAATTGCGTTGTTCGTCACGTTTAATAGAGAATAACGGAACGAATAATTTTATCAAAGTCCCTCTATAATAATTTAACTATCTAATTATATCTCTAACTATCGATGTATTAGTAGAGTTTAATAAGATTTATATAATAATTTAAATAATCGCGATTAATCATTAATAAAATTATCGGTCATCTTCTTAAATAGAAAAAAAATATTCGCACTACTAGCGAAGACTATAAAAGACAATATTCAAAGACGTGGAAAGATAAACAATGTTTCGACGTATAAATCAACTATTAAATTACAAGATAAATCGCGATTTAAAATTCCCGAGAAAACGCGACGAATAAATAAGTCGATAATATGCGGAATATTTGATCGCGACATGTATAATTTTTATAATATAATAAACCTAGCTCTCAATAGACACGAGCGCGATATAATTATTATCACGTAAGTATAGAAAATCAAAAATATTTCGACAATCATTTGAGGTCTGTAATGTTTGCGAATATACAATTCACCGACCGATTTATTTGCAAATTTTTTAGATAAATTTATAAGATAAATCGCGATTTAAAATTCGCGATAAAACGCGACGAATAAATAAATCGATAATATTCAAAATATTCAATTGCAAATACGCGAATGACATTCCGATAATATCCGATAAAAAGAGGAACAATCTTAAAAATGGAGAACGATTAATATCTTGTTTCTACATCAGATTTCGCAAGATCAATCTGCGAAGAAAAGTTAAGTGATCCATTGAACGTCGGGAATTTCACTGTAGGAGGGAACGAATCCTGGATCTTCCGGACTATTCCCGATAGCAATAATTTCAGTATTAAATTAAAGACAATTATCCCTCGTCATTATTTTCAATTTACAAAATTAATATTCACTTCAGAAAACATGTTCTTCCATTACTAAGAAATATATTTCTTTATTGAAAATTAAATGGATATAACGATCTTTTTTATTGAAATGTGATTACGAACGATTATATTTATAAATAATAAAATACATGCATTATTGGAGTTTGTGTTAAATGTGCGAACACATATAATTTGGGGTACCGTTCGCGCGCACGAGACGAATCGAACATGATAACAGCAAGATTTAAAAAATATCTATTCGAACAGTGTGCAAAATAAAATAAATCAAATAATTTTAAACAATTAATTCTAGAATAATTATCTAGATTCTTATTCTTATAACGTTTAAATTAGTAAGTTTTTTTTCTTTTAATCAATATCTTACTAATATAGGGGTACCGATTCGATTCGTCTCGAAATTTTTAAGCACATTTTATGTAACATTCGTGTATAATTTCGCGTATATATAATATATAACATTAATAAAAATTATAAAAATATTTTAGATGCGTGAATTTGTGCATGTATTTTATTATACATATATATAAAATGGTATATACCCAAAAACTAATATTTTAAAAGGGCGATAGTTGTCCAATACCTGCAAATAGTTTCTTAAAAGAAACGAAAAATTAATGTTAATATCCCCAGTACCTAGAAATAACAAAAGAGACAATTTATATTAATTAAAAATATATTCGTTCGTAATCATTTCTATCAAAAAATTAATAAAAATTAATTACAATATGAAATTACTTGAAAAATAAAAATTTATACACAACACTGCATCCATATTTAATCTACTATTAAATCTTGCTGGCATTAGACAATAATAATACCAATCCTAATAATGATAGAACATTTTTAACGAAGGAAAGGAAAGATATGTACATTTCTCTCATCTAAATACATATTATTTAAATTAATTCGATTATAAAGAAGCGTATGAAGTTCATCGTTGAATTACTATCAAAATCATTGCTTTCAGAAATTGCAAGGAAAACCTGAGATTAATTTCTTCAGTCTTACAATAAAAATTCTCAATTTTCAACCAGAACTAGACGTCGCGAATGGATCTCACAAGAACCGATGAGAAATAATTCTCTATGATGAAAATCGTTTCGACTTCTCGGCGGTACGAGCTACGCAACTTTCATTAACGTTTATTTAACGGAAGGAACGACGATAACTCTTTTATATTAAAACAATAATCTAAGAACGCGAAAAAACGCGAGAAAAACATTGTGATTTCGCAACCGTAATTTATTAATTTATGAATATTTTCAATACGAAATTCGTAAATACAAATATAAACTGAAAAAACAAATTTTCAAATTCATAATACTTAACTTGCGATTCTATAATATCGAAGGTTAAATTTTGTGAAGCTAATATTTAATCGTTGACTTATCACATCGAATCTTCACTTTCTTATTCGACATTTCTTTATATTTAATTAGCAATATTTAGGAATATTATCTGACGAGAAGGACAGCGATAAAATTCTTTTGTTAAAATGATAATCTTGTATAAGGACGCGAAGAGAACGCGGAAGAACACGCTATTTTCGCAATCATAATTTAACAATTTATTTTAAGAATATTCAGTTCCGCGCGATATGGAATTCATAAATAAATAAAATTAACGGAAAGCATATCATTAAATTTATAATAATTGACTCGCAATTCTGTAACGAACGTCCGTCAAATTTTATAATGCTTATATTTAATCATTAATTTAGCATCAAATTTTTATATTTTATATAAAAATTTTCCGAATTTATTAATGACTCTTTGACATGAAAATACA